CCGTTTATAAAGGTGACACTTACAGAGCTGTCAATCTCTAACCTTCGTCGTACTTTTACACTTAAATAGCGAATCACGGTGGGCTACGTAGAACGGAGTTCGCATACTAAGTAGTTACCTTCACGATGTTTACGCTTTATGAAACGTCTTTCTAATCTAAACTTCTTGGTCTTACAGTCAAGTTTAGGCAAAACATAAACAAGATTGACAACCCAAAAATTATAATAAACTTAGTGACAGAATTAAAATCATACTTGAAAGGGTATCCTAAAAGAAAATTGTCCTTGGAGGTTAAAAAGGAGGGTTATTTCGAGGAAATTCCTGTACGGGATTGATTTTAATAGGATAGAGTCAATTTCTTAGTAATTGATTTTTTTTTTGTTGCAACATAATGAAAATATACCGGTAACTAGCCCCAAACCGCAGTTTACGCAAAAACGCCTATCTCCCTATCAATTTCACGATCACAACAAGGAAAAGGTGACCAAACTATCTGTAAGGTAAGACCGCCACAAGGAAAATGAAATGATCTACTGGCTTATTATAATTTTTACTGAATGTCTTGTGCTAATGTATATTTTCCATTTATCTTCACGTTCAAATAAGTAAAAAATCACCTATAATGGAAATTCTTGCTAGATGCAAATTTGTCTCCTCACACCACCGTCGAATGGGCGAAAATCTTCAAATGATTTATAAGCAGCGAGTCCCTGCCTGAGTCGGTGGAGTTGTTAATCAAATGATTACAATTGTCCTACTATCCAAACAACGGCGACGAGTTATAATTGTTCACAATCTTAAGGAAAGATGGAATGGGAATTGATGACTTATTGGTTTGTCTGAAGAGGTGACGTCGTCTTTTTCGACTGTGAAGGTGATTTCCACCGACGAAGTCTTCAAATACCTGCTCGCTGAAATCCCCTGTTCCTGCAGATAATTTTTCAGTTCTGCCACATTCATAGCCTTGAAATCGGTTCTAATTTTGCGTTCTTCCATCCTGAGCTATTCCTGTTCTTGAACGTTGAATTGGTTCGCAGGATTTCCCTCTCGCGTTACCCGAGGTTACAAAATCGCAATACAATACGATACCATACAAAATTCCGTGTGGCAATCAAGGCTTGCTTACGTCCTACAGCGATTCGTGGGCACAAATTTCCTACGAAACGCGTGTTTATTTGACAATCTACGCTCTTGTCTTCCTGGAAATACCTGATCAGATACATCACTGTAAGCACGCAGAACTAGTTTGATTGTTTCATGCTGGAACGCTTCCTGCTACATTCTTCGCATCTACTTTAGCTTAGCGAAATATCAACTCGCTTGGTGAATAATCAAACATATGATACAAAAAAGAAGTCGATTTTGAGCAAAGAAACGCTTCACAACCGTGGAAATAATTAACAGCAAAATGGCGAAGCCGAAGTTTGTACACGGGAAGTGGGGTTTACATCAAAAGTCACGTGACGCTACTAAGCCGAAAAGGTGAATTAAAGAGACTTATACTGCAATTGAGAGGATTGTCGAGCATTTTAAGAACGGCAGACTTCAATAACTCCTTCATTCCACTCTTTGTCGGAATAAGTTTTGACACAGCACGGAGCCAGACCTGCAAAGTTTGGATGCGAAAACTGCGACGAATTGCACTATTACGACGAATTTCACCGGGAATTTATCACTCTGTTCAGCGCTCAGTCTGTACCTTTTGGGCTCGAGGCAAATCCATTTGACGAGTTTTTCAAGTTTGCCTTTGGATCAGCAATTTACATTATCATCGTTTCCTTCGTAACCGTCTTTGTCAACAACTTGTTACTTGTGGTTTTCTCAGTTCTTCCACCTGTTGAGGATATTTTACACTGCCACTACTAATTTCCTAATCGATCTGGCTTTTGTACATATCTTATCAGCTGCCTCGCAAGAACCCATGTACCCTACATGCCTCACAATGATGTATCTTAGACATCCTGACCCCCTAGAAACGTGCAAAACCCTACTGGAAGTCGGGAAAGTGATAGCCGTTGCAGCCATTAATGCATCCTTTCTGATATTACTTGCTTTCACAATTATCCAGTACACTGGAGTGGTCTCGCCGCTAAAATACGGCCGGTGCATTACAAAATGGCGCCTGTTTATGTGTTTATTGGCTATAGACGCGTATTCCACATCGTTCAGTATCTTTCCTGTCATGGACATCGCCGAAGAGATCGTGCAAAAGATCGATAACATTTTTCACTCCATCACGCTAGTCTACGTCATGCACCAATATCTTTTACGTTCTATTGTACATCGCCTTTAGGGAGAAATTGGCCGCTTCTGATAGTCTTCGTGAAGGCAAGATCACACAAGATAGAGGGAGAGACATTGAACAGACATGCGTGGAACGCAAGTTTCTCGTCGTCAATTTTCTCCTAATCGTCATCTCGTTTTTTGACGTCTCAGCCGTCTGCAATTTGATGGATTTACCGCTTGTATTCCTACGAAAACCCCAAGACTCCAAGAGTTTTGATCGTCAATCTCATGGTGGCCGATAACTTCCTTTACCTGAAATTCCTACTCGACCTGTTTGTCTTCGCATGGCGAATACCCAAATATCGACAGGCGCTCAAAAATGTCCTAGTAACCGCTTCATGACCTCACGTGAAACAGTGGTAACCCTGGACTTTAAATGCATAAACGGCTAAAAAATTATCATTAGAATAGGTTTGGGAGAGAGGCCATTTGATAAATGTCTTGTCCTGCAAGTCTTTAATTCAATCATGTTATTAGCATAGTCTCTGTAACTAGTCTCAAACTCGCTTTTTTTCAAATTTCTCAAAGTCTGGGATCCCAACCGACTGTCTACTTCCAGAGAGAGAAAGCTAGAGTAGCGTTAAGGTTTCTTCGTGAGCAAATAAAGACACTTCTTAATCACTTTCTCTTGAAATAGTACAAAGTAGAAGGTGATAAGTTGCCAAAACGAACACAAAGTACTAAATCGTAACCGTAATCAGTCCCGGATGGTTATCAAATTTGACAACAATGTGACTTCACAACATGGTGACCATTTCTGAACTAGAAGATTTTCTTACCCAATGCGAAATTTTAGTTTTTTATTCGTTTTTCTCGCTATGTAAACCCATAACTCTATTGGAAATTGATAAATAGATAATGTTCTTCGCCCTTCTTCAAGATAGCGGTATAATCGAGACGACAATTTGGGCAAAGTAACAGGGCAGTTGGAATGACGCGTGTGATCGAGGTATGTTTCCAATTTTGCCTTAAGGTTTAGGTTAATAAATTAACTTTTTCGAAGTGAGAAAAATTATAGAGCTTATCATCAATCTATTTTCTTCCAATGTCTATGTTATTTATCGTGATGCAAACTGCACCAGAATAGTGCATTAGGTGGTTTTGATTTACGTCTACCTAATCGCCAACCGCCATTTTGAATTTCCAACGATGCTTTCAATCTTTCTGTTCATTATTACAACATTGCGATTCCTTATCACTGTTATATACTTAGTTTACGAGAATTAAATACCATGAATAAAAATGGAAATAAGAATATATATCATTGTAAGCTAATCGTGAATCCAATGGTGGGCATTACATACTAGTGAAGGGAAAAATGGCTGCAGTTACAGGTAACTGATTCTAGGTTACTATTAAACTTGGGTAGAACGAATATAAACTTGTAAACATTGTAACTGGTCTTAAAATATGACGAAAGGGGAATGCATTACGGACTCAAGAAGCCCTTTTTAGAGGACATGCTCCAAATAGAAGGGAGATGCGAACTAAGCCTTTTTGGATTTTATAACAGGTGGATGATTGGTACGAAAGTTTAAGTTACCAAGAGTGTCCCAACGAAGATGATTTAACAGAAGAGTAATATGACAATAATTTTGCTTCCAGTCGCTTTATGCCAAGGAAACCGCGTTATTAGGCTCCCGCTGGATGGGCCACTTAGCTCAATTGCAGACTTTCCTTTACCTTACATGGTTGCCACAAGTCAGGAAATGACTTTTAAAAAAGTTGTTGTGGTTTATTAGCTAAAACTATTTTAAATGTCTCGGAAAAGCCTGGCAATTTCATTCTAAGTCAGAAACCTAATGTTTTTGAGAATTTTAAGGGAAAAGAAAAAATTTTCTATCGATTCAGGTACTTTCGAAGGCTTTTATAGACACGGAATGTTAAAACACTAAATTGAGTTTCAATGAATAAAAAAATGAATTCGGTTTTAGCGGTAGCTCATCCATATAGTCAGCTCTTTATCTATAAAATTCCAAAACCGGCTGACGAATAACATACATATACGACTCTGCTGTAAAGTCGATCACTTGACAATAGAAGTGGGCGATTTTGGCTCGGCACTGACGAAAAAATTGATGATTTAGGTAAAGATTCACACGATAACACCCTTATATATACTTGTAAGCCTCCTTTATTACAAGGTTTGGATTTCTCAGCTTATTCCTTAAGTAGAGATCGCAGGGTGTGGATGGATGAAAAATGTAATCATTCGAAAAAGCAATGATAAAAAGGTTGTCAAATACCAATCAACACTGAAGGATTAGAAATTTAGAAAAATGCTGTCATTAGAAATATTCGTTGTTACTGGTGAGATAAGGGATTAATTTCTGATAAAATTTCTCTTTCCTGTGGAAAATGTTCATCTGTTGATATAGATGACATGGATATAACACATCAGGTGACGAGGTAAATGTTCCTGTTTTGTTATCAACTTCTGATCGGTCCATACCTCTTGAAAACAATGAACAGGCACTTTACCCCGAGCACAAGTTCCTGACAAAAAAGTTATGGACGAACGGACGCTTCAGCGTAAAGTACATAACAACAGCGACTGTCTTAATTTTAACTTTTAAGTGTGGGTTGGGCTGAGTGGTTTTGTGGAACTTCTTTAAAAGCACAAGTTTTTATTCTTAAAAAATTTATCTGAACACTCTTTGCTCGACCGAAATGCAATTTAAGAGTCCTGGACAGCCATTAAGACGACATTTAGTGAGCTGTGGTTTTGGGTTCTCAGCTTGTCTCTTTGCATCTTCACTATAGTTGGAAATAGATTTGTCATCTTCCTCGTCTGCAGAAAACGTCAGCTTCACACCGAAACCAACACATTCATTGTATCCTTAGCAGTGGCTGATTTTGCTGTGGGAATGATTGCTGCTCCTTCGCATTTTCTCTGTAACATGATAAATGAGTGCATCTCCGATAAAAAAGCAAGTTTATTTGTGATACAAGTATGGGTGTTCATACTTTACGCTTCTGGAACAAACTTGTCTAGCTTAGTTCTGGAACGCTATATCGCCGTCGTGAAACCGTTAAAATACTTAACTTTTATGAGGAGCCGCCGAGTCATTCAGATGGTTCTTACATCTTGGGCAATTCCTTTTCTTTTCGCTATTGTTCTATTAGCGATGATATTAAATTCATTCCATCGTCTCAGCGCTTATTTCCATCTCTTATTCGAAGTAATCTTGTGTGTGATTTTTATCTTTTGCGTTGCATCCATGTATCTCGTCGTTTACAAGAACTCTAAAAATCGCATTTTACCCAAGCAAATGCAGTTAAATGAACGGTTCGCTAAAGTTAACATCGATATGTGGTCTTAACTCTTGGAAATTTAGGTCAAATAAACCCCACATTCTTACATCGTTTTTTTTTAATACTTATTTTATGGGGATAAATTTATGTATCATAGATAGATCAACATCCGAACATGATAAGGTTCAACAAGACCGGTATTGTAAAAAAAAAAACAAAACAAAAAAACAACTCAGGCATCAACTGAAATAGTTCTTGCTTACGAACAGGGGCTGGGTATTAAATCAACGACGCCTCCTGAAGAGAATGCTTTTACATTCTTGCCTTATGTCCCTTTTGAAGAAAGCATAAGCTATAGGATTTCATCCAAAGCTAATCTGTGCACTGATGACCCATTAAAACGGAAAAACTACAACTGATAAGTATTCTGTAACACAACAGAAACACGCGCGTTACCAACGCTACTCTTTTTCTAATGCTGACATATTCCGAGTTTTACCACTAGCGACCCGTTCATTGAACTACAACTGCTTAATTAAAAAGTGATCTCAAGAATTCTGCTAGTAAACAACACGAAACATGGATGAAAGACAAAATATTAAAGTTATGTCTTGAAAAGCAAATAAAAAATAGCCGGTGATAGTCCTGATATGATCAGTTTAGTTGAATCCAATCGATCGCAGCGATACAGTCAAAGAAAAAAGAAAAGCAATTTCCTAAGAGGTAAGAAATATTTGAATGACTCGGCGGCGCTTCATAAAAGTCAAGTATTTCAAAGGTTTCACGACGGCGACATAGCGTTCTAATTCTAAAATAAACAAGTTTGTTCCAGAATCATAAATGAAGAACACCCACAGACTTATTGTAAGTAATATTGCTTTTTCATCGGAGATGCGCTTATTTTCCATTTTACAAAGAAATGGTGACGCAACAGCAATCATCCCGACACAAAAATCAGCCACTGTTAAAGACACGATGAATGTGTTGGTTTTGGTGCGAAGCTGACGTTTACTGCAGGCGAGGAAGATGACAAACCCATTTTCAGCCATCTTTAGGGTGCAAAGGAACCAGCCGAGAACCTAAAACCACGTTTCCATTTATTTATTTATTTTTTTTAAGAATGGCTGTCTAGGATTTTACAATTGCTTTCATTTTTTAGAGCAGGGAGAGTTTTCAAATTTTATAAAAAGGAAAAATTGTGTACATATGTGTTTTATAAAACCATCTGGTCTCATCGGGCTACACTTTGTGTAAACGTTAGTTACGTCATAGCCATTGTTATGTAAAGTCACGTTTAAAGCAGCAAACATCAATCATTCTTTAAAAAAATTTGTTAGACACATAGTTTGATGCTACACTGGTTTGCAGATTTAATGAATGTAACCGAAGAAGTTACAATTCATAGACCCAACGTTTCGACACTCCTGTCTAGTGCCTTCATCGGGGGTGATCTAAACGCTGCAACAAGAGGTCCTTTTATATGATCACTAATTAGCGGCCTTTTGTCTGACGAGGTGTAAATAGGCGTCATGAAGCAAACCGCCATCGTCACGAAAAAAAAAAAAAACGACAATACTATAAGATTGAAAAGAAAATGGATTCCCCAAGATATAAGAACCATTTGATTGACTAGGTGGCGCTTCATATAAGTTAAGTATTTCAAAGGTTTCACGACGACGATATATCGTTCCGATACTAAAGTAATCAAGTTTGTTCCAGAGGCGTCATGTATGAAAACCCATATATATGTTACAATCAAATTTGATTTTTTAACGGAGCTGTTCTCATTCATCACTTCGCAAAGAAATTCTGAGGGAATCATCCCATAAAAAAAATCAGCCACCACTAAAGACACGATGAATGTATTGCTTTTCGTGCGAAGCTGACGTTTGTTGCAGACGAGGAAGATGACAAATCCATTTCTAGTCATCGTTAGGATACAGAGGAACTAGCTGAAAACCCAAAACCAAGTTTCCATTTAAGTTCTTTTCGGTGGCTGTTCGGGACTCTTCAATTGTCTTCTTGTTTAGAGGGGAGAGGACTTTGAAAAACTTTCAGAAGGAACGTTATATTTACAAAGGGGTCTTAAAAAACCTTCTGGCCCCTTCTACCATTTGTGTGAAAGCTAATTATGTAAATAGCTTTTGTTACGTATCCTAATACATTTTTATCAGATGCTTTAATGCCTGTTTTGCAAAAGCACCGACCAACAAAATTGGATAATTCTTCCTGAATTAATTTTATTTTCTCCCTATCACTTAATAAGTTTAACCTTGCCTTACATGAAATATTACAAAAAGGTTCTGTTTTGAGAATATCAGTATCGCAAGCAAGAACTGAATTGATCAGAATTAGACACCTATTTCAAAAATTATTTCCATTGAAGGTAACTTCAAAATCACGATTTTCATTACAAAGTTCCTTTACAAGTTATTTACTTTGGCATAAACCTTATAGCTTATGTCCTCTTTAAAAGAGACATAAAGCAAGAAAGTAAAAGGCTCTTTTTCAAAAGGTGTCTCTTATTATTCCTCAAAGCAGTTCTCAGGCAAAAAAACTTCAGTTGATGAATTAAGTTATCACCTCCCCTTAGATCTCGACGATGTCCAGATCTATTGATAAGCCTCTATAAGTCACTAAGAGATCGCATGGAAAGCCCTCGACACTGTAGTAACGTCGGTATAAAACAGAATTTTAGCCTTTAACCTTGTTGTATTTTGATCGATAATTTATCTTCCATGAACCTACAAAATAACTGCCATTCAATATGCATGACCACCTGTACTTACTCCAATTTAACTTCCCTATTTCCTTTATTACTGAAATGAAAAAGCAACCTCACACAGTTATTTTTTTAAGTTTTCTTGGCATGTCTTCGAGGTAGGTTTTAATTTCCGCCAGCGCGTTTAGCAAACAACTTTGAAGACAAAACTTTGAAACGGCATTTGACTTATATACATAACAACTTCTCCATGAGTCAGTTTTTTCTTTTCTTTTTCTTTTTCTTTTCTTTTTGGAGGGGGTGGAGCTATCTTTGATGGTAAATTCGGAAACAAATCTCTCCTTTGTGTAATTTTTGAATCATGCCGCAAATGACAATGGTATAACATTTCTAAGCTTTTCCATTCTACAGAAACTTTTAAGGAAATGCTCTGAACTAACTGTGAATTGACCAGTATAAACATCATGTAAATTATTGAAACTATGACAATGAAATTTTGAAAGGCGAGTTGTTTCGGGAAATTTGACGCCGTTAAAGTTTCTTGATAAGTGTTCGTGACAGGTTTTTTGGCTCTGTTGGCGCGTTGGGCAAACAACTTGATGACAACGTGAGATATAATTGCTCCAGTTCAAACAGGAAGATGGATAAAATTTTACTTTACGATACACACCTGCTGTTTTAGCTTCAAATAGATCTTTACCGACAAAATCCTTCGCAGTTAGGTTAGGAGGTTATTTTAAAAGATTATCTGGTGGTAACGTAATTCCAATGAGATTGAATTAATCAATATATTGCTGGTGTCGACTTCTTTTTTCCATGGAAAGCCCTCGACACTGAAGAAAGGTCGGCATAAAACAAAATTTTAGCTTTTAACCTTTTTGTATTTTGATCAATAATTTATTTTCGAGAGCCTACAAAATAATTTTCTATTCAATATGCATGACCACCTGTATTTGCTCCTATTTGACTGCCCTACTTCCTCTATCACTGAACTGAAAAAGCAACCTCTCACAGTTATTTTTTATGTTTTCTTGGTGTGTCTTCGTGACAGGTTTTAATTTCCGCCAGTCCGTTTAGCAAACAACTTTTCAATGAAAATGGCAACAATGGTTTTTTTTTTAAGGGAAAGATGGTAATGAAAAAAATATGAAATATATTTGAAAACCTCAGTCACTGCAAGGTTGCCAGGTTTCGATTTCTCGGTTGGCTCTTGGAGTAGACATCCTAGGGTTAAGTTGGTCGATTTAAAATGTAATCATTGGAAAAATTGATAATTAAAAAGATGTCAAATTTAATAATTATCTCGCTCACCGAAGGGTCTTTTTGGCTCCGTGCTAGGGGGGGAAATCGGAGCGCGAAATCCGAGGGTCTGAAGTTCGCTTCATCATGGGGACTCAGAATTTCTTTTTTGTCCCACGCTCGTGACGAGACGGAAAACATCTCCATGAAATTATCGTTATTCGAATCATTTGTTTTCGACAGGGAAATACGAAGCCATTTTTCATCAATTCACATCTTATTTGCATCATTGTGCAATACTAATATCCTCGAAATAGGACTCTGCTGTAACGTAGAGTGCCGATTCTTTCTTTCTTTCCTCAAATTTTGTTTTGTTGGTCTAGATGTCAAGGATAGTACACATGAGATGATGAAGTAAAACATTCCTGTTTTGTCGTCAATCTCTGATTGGTCCATACTTCTCGCGAACCATTAAACGGGCACAATGTATGACAAAAATGTTAAAGAGTGATGGATGCTTGCAGCCTTGAATGCAACTTGATTAAACAAAGTCTGTTGTCTTAATTGGCTTTATAGGCAAACTTATAAATGAAGCCGAATGGTATTAAATAAAACTTCACAAATTTACATTCTCAAAACTCTCTTCACCCAACTGAAGGAAACAATTGAAAAGTTCAAGACAGCCGTCAAGACGAAACTTAATGGAAACGTGGTTTTGGGTTCTCGCTTGGTTCCTCTCAATCCTCACGATGGCTGGAAATGGTTTTATCATCCTCCTCGTCTGCTATAAACGTCAGCTTCGTACCAAGACCAACACATTAATTGTGTCTTTAGCAGTGGCCGACTTTTGTGTTGGGATGATAGCTGTTCCTTCCCGCTTTCTCTGCGACATGGTAAATAAGTGCATCACCAGTAAAACAGCAATCTTCATTGGGATTTATGTCAGAGTATTTTTAGTGTACGCATCTGGGTCAAACCTATATAGTTTAGCACTTGAACGCTACATCACCGTGGCGAAACCGTTGAAATACTTGACTTTTATGACGAGCCGCCGAGTCATTCAGATGGTTCTTACATCGTGGGCAATTCCTTTTCTTTTGGCTGTTATTCTATTATCGATGACATTAAATTCATTCCATCGTCTCAGCGCTTATTTCCATCTGTTTTTCGAAGTAATCTTGTGTGTGATTTTTATCTTTTGCGTTGCATCTATGTTTCTTGTTGTTTACAAGAACTCTAAAAATCGCATTTCACCCAAGCAAATGCAGTTAAACAAACGGTTCGCTAAGGTTAAAGCTCAGAATACTTCAGCAGTAAAATGGCTGGCTTTGGTAACGTGTGTGTTTCTATCCTGTTACGGATTATTCATGCATTGTAGTTTATTATCGATAACTGGTCATCAGTGTGAAGATTTTCATTACAAAGTTCCTCTACAAGTTATGAACTCTGGCATAAACCCTATAGTTTATGCCCTCTTCAAAAGGGACATAGAGCAAGAATGTAAAAGGCTCTTTTTCAAAAGGCGTCTCTGATTATTCCTTAAAGCACTTCTTAGGCAAGAAAAACTTCAGCTGATGAATTTAGTTATCACCTCCTCTTAGATCTCGACGATCTCCGGCTGTGGATCCATCCAGAATGCACTGGCTCTTATCTTCGTTGATTTTAGACGTACAGTGAAACAGATATAACTCAACAGTGTAAGATTGTAGCAGGTAACTTAGTGTTGACAACTAGGTTGAAAACGTAAATTGGCCACCGTCAAGAGTAAAAAAGCTGACGTTTGGAGCGTTAGCCCTTCGTTAGAGCAATTGAGTCGCTACACTCTCCCACCGACGCAGCAACACAGTTTCTTTAGAAACTTACCTCCTTTATTCAGTTTAAGATTGTAGCTTCGATGTTTACTTTAAGACCTTGTGCTGAATATAACGAAGCATTCCATTGCTAGAGTAGAATCTTTTTTCCTTTAAGCATGGAGGCTGATTTCTATTTTAGTATAAGAAAGGTCTGATTCTCAGAACTACAAGCAAGCTTTACGTGTGATAATAAAACTGTAAACACATATTATATTCCTTCTCTATTGATAAGCCTCTATAAGTCTCTAACAGATCGCCATGTCCCCTGACCGGTCCCTCCTGTGTTTTAGAGAATCGTGTTTTGGGGGGGGGGGTTGTGGAGCTATCCTTGATGGTCAATTCGAAAACAAAGCTCTTCCTTGGGGTAAACTTTGAATGGTACCGTAAGTGGCAATGCTATAACATTTCCAAGCTTTTCCTTTCCACACAAACTTTAAGGGAAATGCTTGAATAACTGCGAATTATTTGACAAGTATATATGTCATGTAAATTATTGGAATTAAGCGAGTTCTTTCAGGAAATTTGACACCGTTAAAGTTTCTTGATGAGTGTTCGTGACAGGTTTTTTGGCCTTGTTAGTGCCTTTGGAAAACAATTTTTCCACGAAAGGTGGCGATCTTGATGACAACGTGACATACAATTGTTCTAGTTCAAACAGGAAGATGGATAAAACTTTACTTTACGATTCACAGCTGCTGATAGCCTAATTTCAATGAGATTGAATCACCCGATATTGCTGATGTCAACTTCTTTTTTCTGTGGAAAGTCCTCGACACTGAAGTAACGTGGGCATAAAGCAAAATTTTAGCTCTTAACTCTGTTGTAATTTGATCAATAATTTATTTTCCATGAGCCTACAAAATAACTGCCATTCAATATGCATGACCGCCTCTATTTAGTCTTATTTAACTACCCTACTTCCACTATTACTGAAATGAAGAAGAAACCTCACACAGTTGTTTTTTGAGGTTTCTTGGCATATCTTCGTGACAGATTTTAATTTCCGCCAGTCAGTTTAGCAAACAACTTTTCAATGAAAATGGCAGCCATGTTTTTTTAAGGGAAAGATGGTAATGCAGGAAAACGTTTACAAGACGAAAATATGAAATATATTTGAAAACCTCCGTCACTGCAAGGTTGCCAGGTTTCGGTTTCTCGGTTGGTTCCTGGAGTAGACATCCTAGGGTTTGGTTGGTCGATTTAAGATGTAATTATTAAAAAAATCGGTAATTGAAGAGATGTCAAATGTAATAATTTCATCGCTCACCGTAGAGTCTCTGTGGCTCAAAGGTAGGGCATTGGAGCGCGAAATCCGAAGGTCTGAGGTTCGCTTCATCATGGGGACTTAGAATTTCTTTTTTGTCCCACGCTCGTGACAAGACAAAAACATCTTTCTCTATGGAATTATCGTTATTACGAAGCTATTTTTCATCAATTCACATCTTATTTGCACTATTGTCCAATACTAATATCCTCGAAATAGGACTCTGCTGTAACGCAGAGTGCCGGTGCATTAAAGGGTAAATCTAGACACGTTTTCTCTACATTCTCTCTTTCCTTTCCTCAAATTTTCATTTCTTGGTATAGATGACAAGGATAGAACACATGAGATGATGAAGTAAAATATTCCTGTTTTGTCGTCAATCTCTGAGCTATATTTCTTGCGAACCATTTAGCAGGTACAGTGTGTGACAAAAATGTTAAAGGGTGATGTATGCTTGCAGCCTTAAATGCTGCTTAAATAAAGAAAGTTTATTGACCTAATTAGCTTGAAGGCAAACTTACAAATGGAGCCGAATAGTTTTTACATAAAACTTCTATATGAACACAAATTTCTCAAAACTCTCTCCGCCCGACTAAAGGAAGCAACTGAAAAGTCCAAAACAACCATCAAGACGAAACTTAATGGAAACCAGGTTTTGGGTTCTCGCTTGCTTCCTTTCCATCCTCAAGATGGCTTGAAATGGATTTGTCATCCTCCTCGTCCGCAGAAACGTCAGCTTCGTACCAAGACCAACAAATTAATTTTATCTTCAGCAGTGGCCGATTTTTGTTTTGGGATGATAGTTGTCTCTTCCCGTTTTCTCTGCAGCATGGAAAATAAATACATTACTGGTTAAAAAGGAATCTTCATTGGGATTTTTAGAGTATTTTTAGTTTACGCATATGGGTCAAACTTAGTTTAGCACTTGAACCCTATATCGCCGTGACGAAACCGTTGAAATACTTGAGTTTTATGATGAGTCGCCGAGTCATTCAAATGGTTCTTGTATCTTGGGCAATTCCTTTTCTTTTCATCCTGACCATAGCTTCGACCTGATTCAATTTAATCTTTCGTGTTAGTGGCTTTGTGTATTCGCTTTTCGAGGTAATTTTGTGCGTAATTTTAATGTTTTGCCTCACATTCATATTACTTGCTGTTTACAAGAACTCTGGAAAACGCCGTTTAGCAAAGCAATCGCAGTTTAATCAACGCATCGTCAAAAACAAGACTCACAACAGGTCAGCAGTCACATGGGTGGCATGTAAAGTACCTCTACAAGTTGTAAACTCTGAAATAAACCCTATAGCTTATGCTTTCTTCAAAAGGGACATAAAGCAATAATGTAAAAGGCTTTTTTTCAAAAGGCGTTGTTTAATTACTGCAGAGTAGTACATGATTAATAAAAACTTCAGTTGATGCATATACTTTTTTCGTCAATACTTCTTTTGGATCGCTAGGACGTCCGGTTGTGGATCGACCACGATTCTCTAATTCTCATCTTCATTGAAATTTAGTTCAAAAGCTCCTTTTGAAAGAAATAATTCAACTGTGTAAGAAATGGAACGTTGATATTACATTTATTCTAAGATTTAAGACCAGCTATCGAATATATCGAGGCTTAACTTTGTAAATAAATTCGACTAAGGGGTATGTTTTTAAAAAAACATCGAAGCTGGCTTGTATTTCGGTCTAAGAAACATCCGGTTCTTAAAAATATGAACTTGTTTTTGGATATCTTAATACAAGTGTAAAAACATCTCATTTGTACCTCCTCAATAAATGGAATAACTGATTGCCTGGTCCACGCGTTAATAAGAGATACATTTTCTGAATTTCTTCTACAACAATTGCCTGTCTACTTGTTCCAAGAGCTGTCATCTACGGGGAAGTTACAATGGATTGATAAGTCTGTCAATGTCGGAATTCAACTCTTTTTTTTCTCGTTTTCTCTATTTCATTTGCAAAAATTTCGTTTAGTTGAGTTAGATGACCATGATTGAAGCTGAATTGTATTTCAGTCATAGAAACATCTGATTGCTTAAACTGCGAAAACACTGTGTTTACTATCATCAGAAAGTAACTGAAATATCATATTCCACCTCAATTTGCTCGAAGAGATCGCCTGTTCCACTGTCTGGTCCTTTCAAAATTTCGGAACATTATTTTCTTAGGTTGTTCAACAAACTGCAGGACTTTGAAACGATGAAAGCTAGGAAGTAAGAGTTTTTCCGACTTTTCGTGCAAAATAGTCGATTTTGTTGACATGTCTTAAAACTTATTCATGAGCTGCTATTTCGGAGAAGCTATATTTGATTGATAAGTCCATCAATGCCGAATTGAGACCCTCTGCCATCAGCACGTTCTCCCTATCCATTGCGTAATGTGACAACATGGGTGTTTTTTCATTCAAGCCGTTTTCATTCCAAGGAAACTCCTCATGGGAATACTTGTCAAAAAAAAAAAAAAAAAAAAAAAAAAAAGCCCTCACTAGGCTAGTAGTGAATAACTTGACAAAAGTAAAAGTCGTGCAGTGTGTATACGTTTAGGTAATCATATGATTTCTGGTGCAATTTGGAATAAATGAGCACGAGTAAATTTTTTCAAAGACCAACAAAATTTCATGAGCCCGTCGGGCGAGTGCAATTTGTGGTCTTAAAAAAAATTAACAAGTGCTTATTTACTCCAAATTGCACAATAAAAATCATGTGATTACGTATTGGTAATATACATGAAAAAATTGGTAATATACATAAAAAAATACGATCTTAATTATGCAGAAGCAAAGTGCGTGCATCAAGTACAAAAGTAATTTATTCAAACCCTGCAAATGACTTTGTGCGTTCGGTCAAGAAAAAACAAGAACCCTAAGATCAAAACAATATACAGTGATATTTTCACATATTAAACGCGCAAAAAATTTGAAAGTCCGACTAAACAGTTCAAGGAATTGTTCATTCTGTGTCCGAATCACTTTCGATGAAACGGAATCTTCGTTTCCGAGGTTTAACCAGGTTTGTTTTTAGTTTTCGGCGCGACTCATAATTTTCGATTTCCTTGGAAATTGCCTTGTCTGAACACAACTCTTTCCAAACCGACAACCAAAAAGCATTGCTTTTTACAATGTTTTCGTTGTTAAAGCTGTTTTTCACTTGTTTTCTTGTTACGGTGGCGAAAGAAAACCTGGTTAAAATGCCGGCGATTGTTTTACTCGCAAATTTTCAGCGTATCCAAATGTTGCGACATCTGAGGCTCGCACTTGATTGACTATCTGTAAGTTTCTTTGTTTATTGACCAATCAGAATTTCTGGTTTGTTATACTTCTCCGCACTGAATTAACCCTCTTCTGTACTGAATTACCTGAAAACTGCATTTATCTTTATAAATCAGAACTGAGTAATTTTTTCATGTATATTATTAAATTAGTTAATGAGATAATTTTGAGTGCAATTTGGTGTTAATAAGCTCGAGAAAAATTTTCAAGGACAACAAAATTGCACTAGCTCGTAGGGCGTGCACAAGTGCAGTCTGTAATCTTTGATGGCAACATGTTCCCCCTATCCATTGGGTAATTAATTTTTTTGGTAGTGTAGGTGACAATAATGTAAGATGGCCGAGCAGTTTTCATTCCATGGAAATTCTTCATGGAATAACTTGTCCAAAAAGATACTCACTAGACTTCCTGTGGATAAGTTGACAAAAGTAAAAGTAGCACAATGTGTTTAGGTAATATCATAATTTCAAGTGTAGTCTGGTGTTAATAAGCTCAAGAGAATTTTCGTGTTTCACCTTTCACTCGTGTTACATAAGAATGCACTCGATTTCAGCCAATCAGAGGCGCGTAATTTTTTCATGTTCATTATTAATTGGAATAAAGTCGAGGAAACTGTGAAAGGCGAGCGCTTTCAGAAAATTTTACACCGTTAATTTTTTTGAGTAGTCTTTGTACTCTGTTAGTGTGAGTACAAACGATTTTTCCATGAAAAGTGGTGCAATTTTTTGAGGAAAAGAGGATAATAATCACTATTATTAAATTTTAATAATTTTATAAAATCAAAAACCGTAGGCACGGAGCCGTACGGGTCTTATGATAAACATATGTTATCATGACTATTGCCCTCCAAAAGTACAAAAAAAAAGAATCACTACCTTAGGTATGCTGCGCTGCAAATTATTTACAATTTAGATGCATTTTTTTGTCGACTACATTGCTATGCAAGGCTTCCCTTAATAGCTGTTATTTTCTCCAACTTTAACCGGTGCTATTTCGTATTAGGTAACCTTCTCTTGTCATGTTTAACAATTACAGTTCCCTTATACATGTTTCCGTTGCAATCCTTGTGATATCACGTGATCGGTGAACTATAGCTCCACGATTGGTTCTAAAAAATCTCAGCGGAAGAAAGAAAAATTGCCTTTCTATTAGGCTGAGATGTCAAAAATACAATGACAATGATATAATGACAAACAATAACAATGTTCTCGTGCCTTCGTGGTTCCTCGTCACCATAACTAGAGCAGTTTTGTCTTTTTACTGGCCTAATAAACCATGCTTATGGCTCAGCTATTGAAATTGATGTTGCATCGAACATAAAAACAGTGATGCCGCTTACAAGCTGTTGTTCTGTGGCTATAGGTCCCCTCAACTATATCGCACAATGGCGAAATGATCCAGCAGGTGATGGATTTAAGTAGTAAACATAAAAACCATCGCATCTCCTCACATGAATTTTAACTTTTCTGTAGCAGCAATTAGAATAACCATGGAAACATGCCTCCCTGTCGACAATGCCATCCTCGATGAGTGGGTGCAGCCCGTTTAAGAAACCTGTAATGACTGTTAGGCATTTGCGGGGACTGACACATTGGTCCAGCATTTTAGTGTATGAACTGGATTGAAATCTGTACCAGCCAGACACAGTACACTGTAATTTATACATTCTCCTGGCGCTGAAAATAAGTTTGCACATTTTAGTCAAAGTTAAGAAACTTACAACTAACGTCCTGAAGAGCGAATGTCTAGGCCATCTTACTCAGATTAAGATTGTCAGTTTTTTGTCATACTTTGTCATTTTCAGAAAAAAAAATTTTTATTACATCCATTTTGAAATCATTATTGATCCTTGCAATCTGACTGGCTCTCAGCACTATAATTTGTTTTCGAATCACACTATCTTTTGCTCAGTCAGAGTTTTGTCAAGCTATGTCCATTTGACAAAATATGAAATGAACAGCTCCTAGAAAGCATCCTACTATAATTCATTGGCACATTTGATCCCTGAACTTTATTTCACGTACCTTCTCCGATGGGATGTGAGTTGGTTTCCACAATAGGAAATATGACCAGTCAGAAAAATCAAAGATCTGTCCTAAAGATCACTTGTGGTTATCATTATCATGGAATAAAAAAATTTTTGCAGTAACTGTACGATGAAAAACTTCAAAAGTTACCTACCGATTTCACAATCACTGCCACGATAACCCGGGTAGCAAATGCATTTATGGATTCTGTCTCTGAATGAAATCGGTGAACATTTCCCATGGCTGGAACAAGTTTGTCCGGTACAAGGATTCTTAGAGAATAAACATCGTTAAGGTCATGAATGCATTGTTTTTCTGCCAATTATTTTTCAAGCCGGTCTTCAGAGTATCAACCTTGAACTTTCCAGAGGTGATTGAGCCAGAACTTTTCCTCTCAACACCAATAAATTATGTAGAAAAGTGATGATGGGTATCAGCAAACCCATCAGTTACTACTTTCAACAACGAATTCGATAAGATTCGAACTTGTAACCCGTTTTCTTTTATTCCCGAGAAATACCTAGCTACCAAATAGAGTATGATGCCAATTCATTGGTCGGGGAAGAAGAAAGGAGTCAGTTTATATGAGTCACGAACTTTTTGCAAGCTATCCTCAACTTAACCTTTTTTGATTACTTCACTATTGTTTTTCTATTTTTTGATCCTTGCTCCGGCATTTCTCCGAGCTACACAGGGTACCAAAGGATAACTTTTTAACCGGGCAATTAAATACGGTTCGTTAGGGAACTTTAGACAAAGAAAATATATTTTGTGTATTTAGAGAGGTAAATTATGAAAGAAAGGAAAGTGATTTGCCAAAGACCCTTACGGCAATGTATATCTAGATACAGACTTTTTATCCGCAAGAACACAAAACCTATTTAAGAAAACTGCTTCCATTTTTATACGCATCCTCATTCTGGAATTAAACCTTTTAAATTAAATCTCATGAATAGGTGCCTTTGTTGACATTAAAATTTTCTTTTTCAACTGTTTCCATCCTCGTAAACTTTGTGTGTTTGCAGCGAATAACTGATGTTTTTGTTTTTTTTATCATCATTAGGAATAAACACTTCAGGACTCCCGCCTCGCGAGTTCAAATTTTGATAAATTCCTAAATGAAATTTCAGCCTTTTCGTAGTATGATTTCATTATTATGAAAAACAGTAGGGCGCCGTTTGGTCGAGAAATTACTTGCTTTCCTAATTCATGAACGCTCTGATTCTGGATATTTCTTGTTAGCGGAATCCATCCTACACCAATATTACTAGTTTTCTACCTTCAACATGGGGTGATGCAAATGGTTATCTGCAATGAGCTTTTCAGTGTTATTGTAGAAATGGGACGATAGAAGCTCACACCAGAGTTTTCCTGTACTATCAGCAAAACCAGCCACGTTGAATGAAATGCAGAAGTTGTTCTCGAGGTAATCGAAGCCACAGTCGAGGATGTCATCCACAAACGTCCTCTTTATGTGGGGAACATCAAGACGACAAAATGGAAGAGGCTCAAACGAAGCTATTATATACTTAGCAACGAGTCGTTGACAATTCAAAATGCACAGAATTAACACAATGATGGCACAGAATTTCTTCTCTTTTGTAAATTTATGCCAAACAATTTTTAACGCCAGATAGAATATAACAATATATATAATCGATGAGAAATCAAACACAATGTAAAATAAACAACGATATTTAACATATGTCCCTTTCTAACATTTAAGGTCCCAAATGTTACATGAAAATCACCAACCACTTTCATTCTACCTCCACGCACCAATGTTACCAACTACATAACGAGCACTCTGTGATAAAAGTTTTTAGATCGGAAGGACAGAAAGAAGCGGATTAGCTGATCTTTTTTGTGCGAAGAGACATAAAAAAATGACAAAGATGCCTCCAAACCTTTCTCTAAACAGCTTAACATTCCTGATCAATTATTCAAAAACAAGTCTGTCGGCGGGATTTTTTCTCCACCAGGGCAATACTGAGAGTATGCTATTTTCCTCCAACGCTAAGACAACGCTTTGAAAGTCAGCTTCTTAAACATCGTCTCGGTGTTCGAAATATATTTATCAACTTATAATTGATAATCAACCAATTGATTCTTTTGTCCACGACTCAGAGAAAGAGCCTTTTTATATTCGAATCGACCTCATGATTATCGCAAGTTAGCTTTTGTCACATACATAAGTTTTAATATACCCGTAAGTTTTAAATATATCCGTATGGAATCATCACGTGGAGTAAAGACAGTTAACAAAAGGATGTAGTAAAAATGAGTTCCAGTTTTTGGAAGGTAACAATTCAAAAAATCAAAACAGAAATCTTGACGTCTTGATGTGACTAAAAACAAATTAAGCAAGTAATTCAGAAACGTGAAATTGAAATTCTTCTTCTAAATTCTTGGACCTGCTGCAAAGGTTTTGTTTTAAGATTTTGTTACAAATGTGGTTTCTCCTGACCGAGAGAGTTGTCTCAATTTCAAAACCTATGTAGTCCACAAAAAAAAAAATTTTAAAAAATTTTTAAAAAATGTTTCTTTGCGCAAACTTGAGGCTAGATGGTTTTAGAAAACCTCTATTTTTCCTTTCTTTTAAGAATTTTGAGAAAGCTAGGAAGGAAGAGCTGAGTTTTCTTACTTTTCGTGCAAAATAGTCGATTTGTTGACATGTTTTAAAATTTATTCACGAGGTGTTATTTACGGAGAAGCTATATTTAATTAATCGCAGGCGACCCGAGAAAAAGCAAACGATTAATTCGTAAAAGCGTCACGCGTTGTGTGACTCCATGTTAAGTTACGATAGGAACCGTTGAGAATTTAAACACATTATAAGGAATAGTATGGGGAACGAAATAAGGTCGATTTTCAACGATACATATTCCAAATATGAACATTCCACACGCAAAATCGATAGAAGACTGTCAAATTAACATAAACATTACAAAACGTTAAGTTGATAAGCTGATGTTTGTTTCAAACTTATTGCAATGGAGATGTTGAGAAAGACGTTATGCTTAGCAAATCTTTTCGGAAAGTCATTTTAAATTTTTTCAAGGTGATTTAGTATATTTCGGATATATTTTGTAAAAATATGACTAATTTTGAACCAACTTTGAAACTTATTAAATTTAAAATCAACATTCTGTCTGGTTTAACAAGTGTAGAGTGGTTTCAATGCAGTGTTTCTTTATTCAGTGAATTCGATTTTCAATACCGTACTCGGCAAAGCCTCGTGCGGTATTGAAATTACTCGTTCATTGTTAATGAACACGTGCAGATTACTCCCGATAATTTACCCACTGGGTGCCTTAAACTGTAAATAGTAAACTTTATTTATACACGAGAACTTTGCCGAACTGGGAAAGTTCGTTACAAAAATGAACGTGTACCCGATCGTATTAATATCGTATTAACATCATTAATAGTATTAGTATTTTTTTTCCGTTTCTCTGAAAGTTCAGGCATCTCTAAGAAAATAGCAAAGTAGTTGCTCCTTGGTTATGGAATCAATTGCCTCTTGAACTCTGGAGTGTTACCTCTGTTGACCAGTCCAAGATGCAGTTGAAGACACTTATTTAAATTGACTTATGATGTCTAGTTTTTAGTAGTGTAGTTTAGTTAATTTCATTATAATATTAGCTTTTGTATTTTATAATTTACCCTTTGTTGTACAGCGCTTTGAGCAATTAGTGAACACAGCGTCTAAAAAGTGTTTTTATCATAATTATCATTATCATCCATATAATTATTATTATAGTTATTGATATTATTGGGTCGTGAGCATGATTTGGATCGCCTAACCAATTAGATCTTCTTTGGCTTTTGCAAAATCCTTTTAACAGTCGAAAAAATATTTCTCGCCTTTAAGGGCAGTTACCCTCGAATCTTTGATGTGATTTTTTTAGATGGTGAAAATGATGCGTTTGGAGAAACGCAGGAGGATTAAATGTTGTAGGAAGAAAGCTTATTTACTGCAATTCATTCATTTTATATCTCACTTTCTATTCTCATTTTTACTAATCTGCCCTCTTTGAATGACGTGTTCGATTCACAAGCCTTTTGCTTAGAAATTTCTTTTGGCAGCATTGTTGGGGTTCTTTGGTAGCTGATGGTTTTCCCACGTCAAACTTCTTCTCTTTGCACTTTTCAGCGGCCTCCTTCGCTTTTTTAAGCAGTTTTGCATATTCAATAGCTTCTTGATCAAAGACTCTTTTTCCGACAGTGGTACATGTCAGGTTTCTTCAACAGTTCGATATTTCACCTCCTTTAAACGTTTCTTTATGAAATTTTCAGTAAACTGTTTCACTCCCTTGGCTACCTCGGCATCTGCATGATCTCCTAGGTTCTCGACGATCATAATGTCGTAAACTAAATATCCTGCAATATAAATTTCTTGTTCTCTTTTCTCGAGGTCCATTACCTTGACTCCTGAATCCCATTGTCTATAACATATTTACAACAGGATCGAACGGGATTTCTTGGTCAAACATCTTCTCCGTGCCTATAGAAAATTTTGCTCGTCCTTCCGCTTGTTCCTCACTGCAGTAGGGGGGAGGGGGGTGATTTTAAACCCCCTTGCTTCTCGTCACGTTGCGATGTTTTGAAAGGTTTCTCTCTTGAGCAAATAGCCTGCCACGTTGTCTAAAAGATGATGTTAATATTACGGGATGCATATGCAAATGACGCTGCTGGAGGTTACTAACGCCATTCGACATGGATGATTTTTAAAATAAATCACTTTTTTCACCATAATTTTTGGCTTGTCGGAAGAATAGTAGCTATCGAACTTAACAGGAAATTACTACGTCCCCAACCCGGTAAGTGAGAGGTTTTCATAATAAGAATCAGTGTAATCCGTGATCCACTTCATCGATTGAACCGTGCGATAAAATTGTTCAGCAGAACCACGACTTCCGATCGAGACAAAGCTAGAGGCCACCACTAAATCACCACCACCACTGTATCAACTAAACAGTCTGATCCAGGTTATTCAAAAGATAACAAGTGTTCATTAATACTGTTTAATAAACAGCTACTTAGTTCTTGATTCGCTTACGTGCCATTGATCATTTTTTGTCCCTTCATATTCTCTATTGAAAGCTATTATTCTGTGCACATCAGAAATTGAAACATCACTTTACAACGTTTTAATAAGTGGGAACACTAAGCAGAAAGAGGCTTTTCTGTTTTTTTTGTCTTATTTATGACCATCAGCATGTCCTAATTTTGTTTTGGCGATTAACCTCTCCCCCTCTTTTTTGCAAACGCAACTAAAACGAGTGAAACGTAACTGCAAGGCATTCACTATGAGAAAAGAAGAAAGAAACTATTAGCGTTAAAAGTTTGGTTCGCCGCAAGTAGCTATCAAACCAGCCATTAATGCAAAAATTGATTCCGCCTCAAGGGATCCATTTGTTTACAACTGATTCCTTCCAGGGAACCATTTCTTTACAATTGATTCCCTCAAGCCAATCATTAATTCACAACTGATTCCTTCAGTGTTTTCATTTGGAGTACGGATGGAAAAGAACTTATTGATTTGGCATTTTACGGTTCATTGCAAATGATTTTATCAAAATCCCTCTGACACACGAAAAGCCCATTGTCCTCATTGTATATCAAGCTGTATCGTGCCCTCGCCTGCTATTTTTCTGTACTTGCTGTGCCCACTTTTCGAGTCTTTCAGTCCACGTCCAAGCTTGCTCATCAAAAAACATATGTCTGTTCAAAGTATTACTAATTAATTGACGGAGCCCATCCATTTTTTCATCAAGATCGTCAGGTATTTTTTTTCTTTCTCTGAGTGAAAGTTCTCGGAAAAGTCTGGCAATTTCATTCCAAGTCAGAAATTGAGAAATTTAAGGGAAAAGAAAAAATTCTCTATCGATTCAAGTACTTTCGAAGGTTTTAAAGGCACAAAATGTTAAAACACTGAATTGAGTTTCAATGGATAAAAAAATTGATTTAATTTTAGTGGTAGCTCATCCACATACTCATCTCTTTATCGATAAAATTCCGAAACCGGCTGGCGAATAACATTCATATACGACTCTGCTGTAACGTTGATCACTTGATAATAAAAGTGGGCGATTTTGGCTTGGCACGGACGAAAAGGATGATGCTTTAGATAAAGATTCACAAGATAACATCCTTAGGAACACTTGTAAGCCTCCGTTATTGCGAGGTTTGGGTTTCTCAGCTGATTTATTAAGCAGAGATCACAAGGTGTTCGTAGGTGGATGAAAAATGTAATTATTCGAAAAAGCAATGATAAAAAGGTTATCAAATGTCAATCATAGAAATTTTTGTCATCAATTTTTCATCGGTCCATACCTCTTGAAAATTATAAACATGCGCCTTACCCCGTGCACAAAGTTCCTGACACAAAAAGAAGGACGAACGGATACTTTCAGCCTAATTACATAACAACAGCGACTGACTTAATTTTAACTTTATCAAAACACTCTTTGCTCGACCGAAGAGGCAATTTAAGAGTCCTGGACAGCCATTAAGACGACATTTAATGGAGCTGTGGTTTTGGGTTTTCAGCTGGTTTCTTTACATTCTCACGATAGTTGGAAATGGATTTGTCATTTTCCTCGTCTGCAGAAAACGTCAGCTTCGCACCGAAACCAACACATTCATTGTGTCCTTAGCAGTGGCTGATTTTGCTTTGGGAGTGATTGCTGTTCCTTTGCGTTTTCTCTGTAACATGATAAACGAGTGTATCTCCAATAAAAATGCAAGCTTATCCGTGATACATGTGTGGGTGTTCATACTTTACGCTTCTAGAACAAACTCGTCTAGCTTAGTTCTGGAACGCTATATCGCCGTCGTCAAACCGTTCAAATATTTGACTTTTACGCTTATTTCCATCTGTTATTCGAAGTAATCTTGTGTGTGATTTTTATCTTTTGCGTTGCTGTTTATAAGAACTCTAAAAATCGCATTTTACCTAAGCAAATCCAGTTAAACAAACGGTTCGCTTAAGTTAAAGCTCAGAATACCTCAGCAGTAAAATGACTAGCTTTGGTAACGTGTATGTTTCTATCCTGTTACGGACTATTCATGCATTGTAGTTTATCAACTATAAATGGTCGTCAATGTGAGGATTTTCATCACAAAGTTCCTCTACAAGTTATTAACTCTGGCATAAACCCTATAGCTTATGCCCTCTTCAAAAGGGACATAGAGCAAGAATGTAAAAGGCTCTTTTTCAAAAGGCGTCTCTGACTATTCCTCAAAGCAGTTCTTAGGCAAGAAAAACTTCAGTTGATGAATTTAGTTATCACTTTCCCTTAGATCTCAACGATGTTCAGCTGTGGATCCATCCGGAATGTACTGGTTCTTATCTTCGTTGATTTCTAACGGTGTAATATTGTAGCTTCGATATTAAATTTATTTCTAAGATTTAAGACCTTGTAATGAATATAACGAAGCATTCCATTGCTGGAGCAGAATTTTTTTTCTTTAAGCATTGAAGCTGATTTGTATTTCGATATAGGAAAGATCTGATTCTTAAAACTACGAGCTTGCTTTACATGCGATAATAAAACTGTAAACACATCTAATATTCCTTCACTTTTGATTAGCCTCTACAAGTCTCTATCAGATCGCCTTATCCACTGACTGGTCCTCCCTGTGTTTTAGAAAATCGTGTTTTTGTTGACATATTACGTCAGACAAAACTTTGAAACGGCATTTAACTTAAATACAAAACAACTTCTCCATGAGTCGGTTTTTTTTTTTTTTTGGAAGGGGTTGGAGTTGTCTTTCATAGTAAATTCGAAAATAAAAGCTCTCCTTTGGGCAATTTTTGAATGGTGCCGTTAATGACAATGCTATAACATTTCCAAGCTTTTCCATTCCTTAGAAACTTTTTAGGGAAATGCTTAACCAACTGTGAATTATTTGGCTAGTACATAAGTCATACAAATCATTGGAACTAGGACAATGAAATCGTGAAAGGCGAGTTCTTTCGGGAAATTTGACGCCGTTAAAGATTCTTGATAAGTTCGTGACAGGTTTTTTGGCTTTGTTAGTGCGTTGGGCAAACAATTATTCCACGAAAGGTAACGAACTTGATGACAACGTGAGATATAATTGCTCCAGTTCAAACAGAAAGATGGGTAAAACTTTACTTTACGATTCACACCTGCTGTTTTAACTTTAAATAGATCTTTACCGACGAAATCCTTCACAGTTAGGAGGTTATTTTTGAAAATTCTCTGGTGGTAGTTTATTCCATACTAGTCCTAGACAATGAAGGAACGTCGGCATAAAACAGAATTTTAGCTTTTAACCTTGTTGTATTTTGATCAATAATTTATTTCCGTGAGCCTACAAAATAACTGCCATTCAATATACATGACCACCTGTATTTGCTCCTATTTAACTGCCCTACTTCTACTATTACTAAAATGAAAAAGAAACCTCACACACTTATTTTTTTAAGTTTTCTTGGCATGTCTTCGTGACAGGTTTTAATTTCCGCTAGTCCGTTTAGCAAAGACATTTCGATGAAAATGGCAGCGATGTTTTTTTAAGGGAAAGATGGTAATACAGAAAAACGTTTACCAGACGAAAATATGAAATACATTCGAAAACCTCCTTCATTGCAAGGTTTTCGGTTTCTCGGTTGGTTCTTGGAGTAGACATCGTAGGGTTTAGTTGGTCGATTTAAAATGTAATCATTGGAAAAATCGGTAATTAAAAAGATGTCAAATTTTATAATTTACTCGCTCATCGTAGAAACTCTGTGGCTGTAGCATCGGAGAGCGAAATCCAAAGGTCTGAGTTCGATTCATCGTATGGGGACTCAGAGTTTCTTTTTTCTCTCACGCTCGCGACAAGACAAAAAACATCTTTCTCCATGAAATTATTGCTATTTTTCATCAAATCACGTCTTATTTGCACTATTGTGCAACACGAATATTCTCAAAATAGGACTCTGCTGTCACGCGTCATAACGCAATTTTCATTTGTTTGTATAAATGAAAAGGATAGAACACATGAGATGATGAAGTAAAAATTTCTTGTTTTGTCGTCAATCTCTGATTGGTCCATACTTCTTGCGAACCATTTAACTGGCACAGTGTCTTTCAAAAATGTTAAAGAGTGATGGATGCTTGCTGCCTAAAATGCTACTTAATTGAAGAAAGTCTATTGACCTAATTAGCTTTAAGGAAGACAAATTTCCATTCTCAAAACTCTCTCCGCCCGACTAAGGGAAGCAGTTGAAAAGTCCAAGACAGCCATCAAGACGAAACTTAATGGAAACGTGGTTTTGGGTTATCGCTTGGTTCCTTTCCATCCTCACAATGGCTGGAAATGGATTTGTCATCCTCCTCGTCTACAACAAACGTCAGCTTCGTACCAAGACCAACACATTGATTGTGTCTTTAGCAGTGGCCGATTTTTGTGTTGGGATGATAGCTCTCCCTTCACGTTTTCTCTGCGGCGTGGAAAATAAGTGCGTTACCAATGAAACAGCAAGCTTAATCAGTACTTATGTAAGAGTATTTTTGGTGTACGCATCTGGGTCAAACTTATTTAGCGTAGTACTTGAACGCTATATCGCCGTGGCGAAACCTCTGAAATATTTGACTTTTATGACAAGCTGCAGAGTCATTCAAATGGTTGTTACATCTTGGGCAATTCCTTTTCTTTTCATTCTGACTATAGCTTCGATCCGATTCAATTTAATCTTTCGTGTTAGTGGCTTTGTGTATTTGCTTTTCGAGGTAATTTTGTGCGTAATTTTAATGTTTAGCCTCGCATCCATGTTTCTTGCTGTTTACAAGAACTCTGGAAAACGCCGTTTAGCAAAGCAATTGCAGTTTAATCAACGCATGGTCAAAAACAAGACTCACAACAGGTCAGCAGTCACATGGGTGGCATTGGTAACGAGCGTGTTTCTTTTGTGTTACGGATTACTGATACGTTGTAGTATAGTAGTTTTAACTGGTCATCCTTGTAACGATTTTCACTATAAAGTACCTCTACAAGTTGTAAACTCTGGAATAAACCCTATAGCTTATGCTTTCTTCAAAAGGGACATAAAGCAAGAATGTAAAAGGCTTTTTTCAAAAGGCGCTGTTTAATTACTGCAGAGGAGTTCATGGTTAATAAAAACTTCAATTGATGCATATACTTATTTGGATCGCTAGGACGTCCGGTTGCGGATCGACCACGATTCTCTAATTCTCATCTGCATTGCAATTTGGTTGAAAAGCTTCTCATGAAAGAAATAACGCAACTGTGTAAGAAATTATAAGATTTAGGACCAGCTATCGAATGTATCGAGGCTTAACTTTGTAAATAAAGTTGACTAAAAAGAATGTTTCTAAAAAACATCGAAGCTGACTCGTATTTTAGTCTAAGAAACATCTGGTTCTTAAAATATGAACTTGCCGCTGGATATCACAATACAAGTGTGAAAATGTATCATTTGTATCTTCTCAATAAATGGAATAACTGATTGCCTGGTCCACGCGTTCAGTGCTCTCTAATAAACGATAAATTTTCTGAATTTTCTTCTAAAACAGTTCCCTGTGTACGTGTTAGTTGTTCCAAAAGCTGTCATCTACGGGGAAGTTACAATGGCTCGATAAGTCTGTCAATGTCGAAATTCGACTCTTTGATATCAAAGCGTTTTCTCTATTTCATTTGCAAAAATTTCTTTCGGTTGCGTTAGATGACCATGATTGACGCTGAATTGTATTTCAGTCACAGAAACATCCGATTGCTAAAACTGCGAAAACACTTTGTTTACTATCATCAAAAAGTAACTGACATATCATATTCCTCCTCAATTTGCTGTAACGCTCGAAGAGATCGCCTGTTCCTCTATCTGTTCCTTTCAAAATTTCAGAACATTATGCTCTTGTTCAACAAACTACAGGACTTTGAAACGATGAAAGCTAGGAAGGAAGAGCTAATTTTACCGACTTTTCGTGCAAAATAGTCGATTTTGTTGACATGTTTTAGAACTTATTCATGAGCTGCTATTTGCGGAGAAGCTGTATTTGATTGATAAGTCCGTCAATGCCGAATTCAGACTCTCTGTTATCAACAAGTTCTTCCTATCCATTGCATAATTTGACAGCGTAGGTGTTTTCATTCACGCTGTTTTCCTTCCAAGGAAACTCTTCGTGGGAGTACTTGTCAAAAAAAAAAAAAAAACGCTCACTAGATTGCTAGTGAATAACTTGACAAACGTAAAAGTCGTGCAATGTGTATAAGTATAAGTAATCACATGATTTCGAGTGCAATTTGGATTAAATACGCACGAGTAAATTTTTTCAAAGACTAACAAAATTGCATGAGCCCGTAGGGCGAGTGCAATTTGTGGTCTTTGAAAAAATTAATAAGTGCTTATTTACTCCAAATTACATTCCTGTTACATGAGAATGTACTCGATTTCAGCCAATCAGAGGTGCTTAATTTTTTTATATTCATTATTAACTGGAATAAAGTCGAGGAAACTTGAAAGGCGAGCGCTCTCAGAAAAATTTACGCCGTTAATTTTTGTTGAGTAGTCTTTTTACTCTGTTTGTGTGAGTGCAAACAATTTTTCCATGAAAAATGGTGCAATTTTTCGAGGAAAAGAGGATAACATCACTATTATTAAATAATAATAATTATTCAAAATAATTAAAAGCCGTACGCGAGGAGACGCACGGGTCTTATGATAAACATATGTTATCATGACTACTGCCCTCCAAAAGTACAAAAAAGAGAATTACTACCTTTAGTATTTTGCGTTGCAAATAATTTCCAATTTGGATGCATTTTTTTTGTCGGCTACATATCCTATGCAAGGCTAGCTTTAGTGGCTGTAATTTTCCTCTAACCTTAGCCAGTATTTCGTATAGGTAACCTGCTCTTGTCCTGTTTAACAATTACAGTTCCCTCATACATGTTTCTGATCCTTGTGATATCACGTCATCGGTGAACTATAGCTCCATGATTGGTTCCAAAAATCTCAGAGGAAAGCAAAATATTTTCTTTGTGTTAGGCTGTCAAAAAATTAACAATGTTCTCGTACCTTCTTGGTTCCTCGTCACTATAACTAGAGCAGTTTTGTCTTTTTGCGGGCCTAATAAACCATGCTTATGGCTCAGCTATTGAAATTGATGTTGCATCGAACATAAAAACAGTGATGCTGCTTACAAGCTGTTGTTCTGTGGCTATAGGTCCCCTCAGCTATATCGCACAATGGCGAAATGATCCAGAAGGTGATGGATTTAAGTAGTAAACATAAAATCCATCGTATTTCCTCACATTAATTTTAACTTTTCTGTAGCAGCAATCAGAATGACCATCGAAACACGCCTCCCTGTTGACAATGCCATCCTTGATGAGTGGATGCAGCCGTTTAAGAAACCACTGAGGAGTGTTAGGCATTTGCGGGGACTGATACATTGGTCCAGCATTTTAGTGTGTGAGCTGGATTGAAATCTGTAACAGCCAGACACAAGAGACCTGTCCGAGTTCCCTCCTCTTCCAAACGATGTGTGGCGACCGGGCTCGCTCAGTACACTGTAATTCATACATTCCAATGGCGCTGAAAATAAGTGTGCACATTTTAGTCAAAGTTAAGAAACCTACAACTGAAGTCCTGAAGGACGAATGTTTAGGTCATTTTATTCTAATAGAGACTGTCAGTTTTTTATCATAATTTATCATTTTCAGGAAAAAAAAAATGGTTTATCATAATCATTTTAAAATCATTATTGATCCTTGCAATCTGATTAGCTCTTCGCACTATGATGTATTTTTGAATCGCACTATTTTTTGCTCTGTCAGGGTTTTGTTAAGCTTTGTCCATTTGACAAAATATGAAATGGACAGTTCCAAAAAAGCATCCTACTATAATTCATTGGCACATTTGTTCCCTGAACTTTATTTCACGTACCTTCTCCGATAGGATGTGAGTTGGTTTCCACAATAGGAATTATGACCAGTCAGAAAAATCAAAGATCTGTCCTAAGATCAATTGTGGTTATCATTATCATGGAATGATTGAAAAGCTTCAAAAGTTACCTACCAATTTCACAATCACTGCCACGATAACCCGGATTGCAAATGCATTTATGGATTCAGTCTCTGAATGAAATCGGCGAACATTTCCCATGGCTAGAACAAGTTTGTCCGGTACAAGGATTCTTAAAGAATAAACATCGTTAAGTTCATAAATGCAATTTTTCTCTGCCAATTACAAGCTGGTCTTCACAGCATCAACCTTGAACGTTCCAGAGATGATTGAGCCAGAACTTTTCCTTTCAACACCAATAAATTATGTAGAAAAGTGATGATGGGTATCAGCAAACCCATCAGTAAGTAAGAGTATTCTTCAACAAGGAACTCGATAAGATTCGGACTTGTAACCTGTTTTTTCATTCCCGAGAAATACTTAGTTACCAAATAAGGTATGATGCCAATTGATTGGTCGGGGAAGAAAGAAGTCAGTTTATATGCGTCACGAACTTTTTGCAAGCTATCTTCAACTCAACTGTTTTGATTACTTGGCCATTGTTTTTCCATTTTTTGATCCTTATTCCGGCATCTCTGCGAGCTACACAGGGTACCAAAGGATTTCTTTATAACAGGGCAATTAAATACGGTTCGTTAGGGAAGTTTAGACAAAGAAAAAATTTTTTGTGTACGTAGAGAGGTAAATTATGAAAGAGAAGAAGGTGATTTGCCAAAGACCCTTACGGCAATGTATATCTCGATACAGACTTTTTATTCCGCGAGAACAAAAAAGCTATTTAAGAAAACTGTTTCCACTTTTATACGCCTCCTCATTCTGGAATTAAACCTTTTAAATTAAATCTCATGAATAGGTGTCTTTGTTGACATTAAAATCTTCTTTTTCAAGTGTTTCCATCCACGTAAACTTTGCCTGTTTGCAGCGAAAAACTGATGTTTTTGTTTTATTTTATCATCATTAGGAATAAAACTTTTAGGACTCCCGCCTCACGAGTTCAGATTTTGATAAGTTCCTGAATGAAATTTCAGCCTTTTCGTATTATAATTTCATTATTATGAACAACAGTAGGGTGCCGTTTTGTCGAGAAATTACTTGCTTTCCTAATTCAGGAACGCTGTAGTTCTGAATATTTCTTATTACCTGAATCCATCTACACTTAGAGGACGTCAGAGATTATCGTTGACGAATAACTATCAGAGGCACCTTTGCATATTTCCCTGTGAAGCATAATACACTTTATTCGGCTTTTTCATTTTCCTTCTTTTCTCCTTTAATTTTTGACGGTGGATCATTTGACAAAGAGTTTTTTGAACATTCCACCAGAGGAACGAAAGAACTGTTTTGAATTTGGAAGGTTAATCGTAATGCGACTCAAACTAAAATTAAGTTTTTAATCCTCTACAGCTTACTATAGACCGACACGTTAGCCTACACCAATGTTATTAGTTTTCTACCTTCAACATGAGGTGATGCGAATGGTTATCTGCACTGAGCTTTTTAGTGTTATTGTAGAAATGGGACGATAGAAGATCACACCAGAGTTTTCCTGTACTATCAGCAAATCCAGCCACGTTGAATGAAACGCAGAAGTTGTTCTCAAGGCAATCGAAGCCACAGTCGAGGAGGTCATGCACAAACGTTCTCTTTATGTGGGGAACATCAAGACGACAAAATGGAAGAGGCTCAAACGAGGCTGTTATATACTTAGCAACGAGTCGTTGACAATTCAAAATGCACAAAATTAACACAATGATGGCACAGAATTTCATCTCTTTTGTAAATTTATGCCAAACAATTTTCAACGCCAGATAGAAGCCTGATGGTCTCAGAAATACGAGGCAAATGGAAATCACACATAAATTGTAGTTATAACAATGTTAAATGATTGATGAGAAATCAAACAAAGTATAAAATAAACGATATTTATATTTTATTTGATGTCCTTTTCTAACATTCAAGGTCCCAAACGTTACAGGAAAATCACCAACCACTTTCATTCTACCTCCACGAACCAATGTTACCAACCACGTAACGAACACTCTGTATTTTGGATCGGAAGGACAGAAAGAAGCGGATTAGGTAATCGTTTTTGTGCGAAGAGGCATAAAAAAATGACAAAGACGCCTCCAAACTTTCTCTAAACAGCTTAACATCCCTGATCAATTATTCAAAAACAGGGCTGTCAGCGGGATTTTCTCTCCAACAATGCAATAGTGAGAGTACGCTATTTTACTCCAACGCTAAGAAAACGCTCTGAAAGTCAGCTTCTTAAACATTGTCTCGGCGTTCAACAAACTTATAAATGACAATCAACCAATTGATTCTATTGTCCATGAAGCTGAGGAAGAGCCTCTTTTTATTCGAATAGAACTCATGACTATCACAAGTTAGTTTTGTCACATACACAAGTTTTAATGTACCCGTAAGCTTTAATATACCTATATGGAATCATCACGTGGAGTAAATTTAACAAAAGGATGTACTACAAATGAGTTTCAGTTTTTGGAAGGTAACAATTGAAAAAATCAAAACAGAAATCTTAACTTCTTAATGTGACTAAAAACAAATTAACCAATTAATTCAGAAACGCGGTTTCTCCTGACCGAGAAAGTTATTTCAATTTCAAAAAACCTATGTCGTCCACACACAAAAAAAAATTTTTCTTCACGCAAACTTCGGGCTCGGTGGTTTTACAAAACCTCAATTGCAATATAAAGTCAATTTTTCCTTTCTTTTAAGAATTTTGAGAACTTTCCTCTTAGTTTCTGCTAGTGTGTTTGGCAGACAATTTTCTCGTGAAAAGTGGCGCGCTTGTTAAGGAAATTTCAAGTTCAATACGCAGTTGAAGACATACTTATTTAAATTGGCTTATGTAGTTTAGTTAATTTCATTATAATAGCTATTAGCTTTTGTATTTTATAATTTAACCTTTGCTGTACAGCGCTGTGAGCAATTAGTAAACACAGCGTCTTATAAGTGTTTTTATTATTATTATTATCATTATAATCACTACTATGACTATTATTATAACGTGAGCATAATTTGGATCACCTCCCCAATAAGATCTTCTTTGGCTTTTGCAAAATCCTTTTAATAGTCGAAAAAATATTTCTTCTGGTGTTTTTTTTTTAGATAGTGAAATGATGCGTTTGGAGAAACGCAGTAGGATTAAATGTTGTAGGAAGAAAGCTTATTACCTGCAATTCATGTATCTCCCTCTTCAGAAACCTCCGAATCCTTTCCTTAAGGTTTTCGACAAATCTTTCGACGACGCCGCTAGTTAACAATTATTCGCCTCGTGTAGAAAATTTTTTTGGATACAATTGCTTAGGAGCTTTTTGATTATGTTGTAAATATCCGTGTGATGCTGAAAGCATTCTGTTTCAATTCAGTAGTTTCCACGAGAATTATAAGTTTCATTTAATTCAGTCAGCAAATACTTCATATCTTTCTTTTGAATAGTGTTACTCCAAACTTATTAGCATCTTTTGGGCTCTTCGGAATTTTGTTTTCCTTATCGCATTTATCAGTTCCTCATTAACACTTACTAAACAAGAAGCAGCTATTTAGATAATATAAATTTAGCACTCCTGTTATGATCACTTCGCCATAATCACCTCGCGCGAGGCAATTATCAACAGATAGAACACTTATTTTAAATCATAGTAACATATCTTTGACCTTGTCTCCTTTTTTCTTGTCTCACTTTCTATTCTCATTTTTACTAATCTGCCCTCTTTGAATGACGTGTTAGATTCACAAGCCCTTAGCTTAGAAATATCTTTTGGCGCCAATTGTAGGGGTTCTTTGGCATCTGATGGTTTTCCCTCGCCAAACGTCTTCTCTTTGTACTTTTTCTTCGCTTCTTTGGGCAGTTTTGAAAATTCAATAGCTTTTTGATCAAAGACTTCTTTTTTCAGACAGTGGTACATGTCAGGTTTCTTAGACAGTACGATATTTCGTCTCCTTTAAACGTTTTTTATGCAATTTTCAGTAACCTGTTTCGCTCCCTTGGCTACCTCGGCATCTGCATGATCTCCTAGGTTCTCGACGATCATAGTGTCGTTAGCTAAATATCCTGCAGTATCAACTTCTTGTGCTCTTTTCTCAAGGTCCATTAACCTTGACACCTTAATCCCTTTGTCTATGACATGTTTTACAACTGGATCGAACAGGAGTTCTTGGCCAAACATCTTTTCCATGCATATAGAAAATTTTCCTCGTCCTTTCGCTTGTTCCTCACTGCAGAAGGGGGGAGGGGGGTGATTTGAAACCCCTTTGCTTTTCGTCACGTTGAGATATTTTGAAAGGTTTCTCTCTTAAACAAATAGCCTGCCATGTCGTCTACGAGATGATGTTGATATTACGGGATACATATGCAAATGACGCTGCTGGAGGTTACTGACGCCATCGTACATGGATAATTTTTAAAATAAATCACCATAATTTTTTGGCTTGTCAGACGAATAGTAGCTCTCGAACTTGACAGGAAATGACTTCGACCCCAACCCGGTTGGTGGGAGGTTTTCAAAATGAACATCAGTGTGATGTTCATCAGCAGAACCACGATTTCCGATCGGGACAAAGCTAGAGGCCACCACTAAATTGAATAGGTTCTTCGAGAATCATTGACTACGAAGAACATTGGTGGAAATAGTCCATCCTTTGTCACTAACCTAAATGCACTTCTAAGTACTTGTGACATTTGTTGTTAGTTTATCAACGAAGGTAAAAGCTTATCACCATTAAACTAAGATGCACAAATGTTGAAAAAAAATAATAATTGGCGCCTTTTTGAGGATATCAAACAACCCGGTGTCCTATGGACTCGCAAGGAGCTTTTTTCGTTTATTTAAGTTATTTCTTATCTTTTTAGAAAGAGGTCGTCGCTTATAGTCATGGACACTTAACCTGACTGGATCCAGCGATCGTATTGGCGAAATCGATAGCATTTTTGCTGAGATTAAGCAACCCGAATTCAAGGCCACAGGAATCACATGACGGCACTAACTGCGAAAGCTGTGATCCTATAAACAATTGATGCTGCCAGTTTCAAATTAACAGTCTGATCCAGGTTATTCAAAAGATAACAAGTGTTCTTTTATACTGTTTAATAAACAACTACCTAGTTCTCGATTCGCTTACATGCTACTGATCATTATTTTTCCCTTCATATTCTCTATTGGCAGCTATTATTCTGTGTACATTAGAAATCACCACATTGCTGTAAAATGTGTTAATAAGTGGCAACATTAAACAGAGAGAGGCTTTTCTGTTTTATTGTCTTATTTATAACCATCAACATGTCCTTATTTTGTTTTAGCAAATAACCTCTCCCCCTCTTTTTGCAAACGCAACCAAAACAAAATCGGCATTTTTTAAGGAGTGAAACGTAACTGCAAGGCATTAACTGAACGCAACCAAGAATGAAGCTATTCGAGTTGAAGGTTTGGTTCGCGCAAGCAGTTATCAAACCAGCCGTTAATTCAAAAATTGATTCCACCTCAAGCGAACCATTTATTTACAATTGATCCCTTCAAGCCATCCAGAAAGATGTATATATCCTGGTGTCTCAAAATAACTGTCAACAACATAACAGAAATCAGAAATTGCTGTTTTCAGTCTCCAATATAATACATTCTTCGATCTCTTTTTCTTTCTTCAAGAAATAGAGAGAAGATTACCTTTGCGGTGTATTTGCAATCAGTCATCCTTTGCATTTATTAAATTGGCAGTTGTGGATATTGTGACATAGATTCTGAGTTCTGGAATGTTTGTTTACCTTGACTATAAAGGAGTACATGCGGTCTTTGTCTCCAGACTGAATCATCGTGTGTTTTCTTAAGCATTTATCTTGCACAATGACTGCTATTAATGATTCCTTTCATTTTGTTTGACTCGATCTCTCAGTTATGTTTTTTCTTTACTTTTATGTTTTGTGATGGCGATATTTATTTAACGGCAAAATATAGTCGTTTTTTACCCGCAACTGATTGCAGGCAACAACAAGAACGGCTTTCCTTCATTTCTTTAAAAAAGTAGCTATACTCTTCCATTCAGAAAAGTTAAAAATTAATAAAAATATCTGACAATAGTGCGTGACTGTCGACTCAATTCATCGCTATGATTGTTTAGATACGAATTATTTAGATCAGAGCACATAATGTCGCATGGGTTATCATGTTTTCGAAACTTCTTTAATTGATGAGTTTGAGCCTACACAGACTAGAAACAGTCACAGAGATTTTGGAGTATTCTTTCAGTTCATTGCAATAACCAAATTGACTCTTCAAGTTGGCTCTTTCCTAACCGCGCGAAAATCATGTTTTCGCGGGAAAAAGTTAAAAAGCTTTTCAGCCGACAATTGTCTGTAAGGGTCAGATTTATCTTTAATATTATTGTATAGCTTCGTACCTTTGTTTTTCACTAGTCTCTGGAGCAGTACTTATGAACAACCACGTGTAGATTTCACCAGCTATCTCGCGTATTAAATCTGCAACGCCCCTTCCGTTTTCCGTCGATCGCCTTGATAAAAATCAGCAATCCGTCAACTCATGTATCCCCATCACCATTTCTATTATCTTCGACCACAATTTTACGTTCCTACTGTCTCCATAATCATGAATGTGGTAAAGTCACCTTAGAGATCGAACACATTGCCAGAAGAAAGAGCTTCTATGGTGATCAATTGAAAGACTTGCTGTCAAACCTTGACCTATCACAGAGTGCATTTTGCTTTCTACCTTAATCGTGTATAGTATGAGGGGCGATGGACGATACTCTTCGTTCACGCTTATTACCCGTAAGTCACTCCACGTGACATGTAGTGGATTGGTGTATGGAAGTAAGTGTCGATCAGTATTCAGACCATAGACGATGCCGAATATTTTAATTGGGTTACTGTAATATAATCAGCTTTGGCTTTTTAAAGGGTTGAACTGTTAAACAATTTAATTCCAACTTTCCCCTACATGTCTTTAGAACTATTTTTGTTGGTCTTTGAAAAGTTTTGCTGACTTTTCTGTGATTGGTCAAGCTTTGACAGCAAGCTTTACGATTGGTCACCATGGACGCTCTCTGTTCTGGCGACGTGTTCGATCTGCAAGGTCTCCCTTCCACACTAACGATTACAGAAAATGTAGAGAAGTAAAAGTGTGCAAGAAGGACAATTTAAACATAGAAATGGGATATTGGCGATTCATCAGTTGGCAGATTACTGGTTATTACTGAGGCTATTAACTGAAAGTGGGTTTGTTTGACAAAAATCGGAAGAAGAAGCGTTGCGCGAGATTGCTGGTGAAATCTACCTGTAGTGCTCATAACCGCTCCATGAGAGACCACCGCAAAACAAAGATACGAAACTATATGATATAACTAGTAGGGAAAATTCCACTTGGTCTGTTTTCCAGTAACTGCAGACTCAAACTCCTCTGAAACTGAGAGAGCTGCAAAAAATTATTAAATGAAAGAGCCACGATGGATGATGGTTTCTAAAATGCACTGTGGAATAATAATCACATCACTTCAAGCCGTGTGCAAAGTCACAGATGATAATAAGAAATCGACCATAAAAATAAAGCTTGTCTTCGCAAACAATTGTCAGCTGAAAAGCTTTTTCCCCGCGAAAATCGGATTTTCGCGGTAGGAAAGAGGAAGTCGAAGAGTTTTCTTTTTTAGGCCATGGAAAATAAATAAAAGAATGCTCTCAAAATCTCTGTGAAAAATGTTTAGGCTGAAAGAGAGAGAAAACTTCTTATTTATATTCCCGACAGATTTTTTTAATCGGAGTGGTGCGTGACGTAGGCTTCGAATTCCTGCATATTGAATTTTGACCGCGGATCAGAAACACTTTCAATGAGAACCCATTTTTGTTCTTGCACATTACTTTAGTTTACCTCTCAGGAATATACTAATCGAACGAAAGAAGTTTCGGAATTTATGAAAACCCATTATGTGCTTAGATCTAAATAATTCGTATCAAAACAAAGCATCGACGAAATGAGTCGACAGTCACGCACTGTCGTCAGATGTTTTTATCAGGTTTGAAATTTTTTGAATGAAAGAGTGTAGCAGCCATTTTTTGAAAGAAATGAAGAGAAGCCGTTTTTGTTGTTACCTGCTATCGGTTTCGGGTAAAAACGATTACATTTTGCTATTAAATAAACAACGCCATCACCAAATAAACATCCTATCGAGTCGGCGTGACATTGCAAACTCTAAAATACGTTTTCGCAAAAAAAATCGAAAAAGGTTTTTGCACTCCTATTGCTCTCGAAAAACCCACTTCGGAAACACACTAGTTTTTGAAAGAGTCCGGCAGTGTGGAGAAATTTAGCCGCGACTCATATATTTCTCTGGCTGTTTCGCTCAACTAAATGCAACGCGTTTTTTTGTTTGGATTACGTATCTCCAAAAAAAACGGGTTAAGGATATCTGTGACACATTGCTTCTTTTTTTCTTTAAAAGGGTTAAGCCTGACAATTTCCAATTCTGCATATCCAAGACTACTAGTGCAAGGGGATGCAAGTTATCCAACCATGAAAGAATTTTATCATATTCCACCTTTGGCACTCTTCACCGCCGCCGTTTTCATCTGCCGCTTGCTCGTGAACTTACGTCCAGCTCCACAAGAAGCTGTTATTGGGAAGAATTTGACGTACTTTGACTTACTTGGCGGTTTGCTTGTATTTTTTTCTCGTTAAAACTTCAATTTAATCGAACCTGTCGAAAATTAACGTATTTGTGTACATTATCATTGAGAAGAAATACTAATTGCGTTTCTTACAACACCGTCAGCCCGCGCTGTACTTCGTGGAAGAGTGAAAAACAAAGAAAACTTAGTTGGTAAATACACTTTTTGAACAGAAATGAAGTTCACTGAGAACTTGAACCCTTGTAATGGCGGCCGTTCAGAAAAAAGTTGAGCTTGAACTTTCTTTGGAAAAGAGTACGTTTCCTCGTGATAAATAAGGACATTTGCTGTCAGATGCGATTATTAACCGTGCGATGTACGTCTATTAAGTTTAAAAGCCAGTCAAACACGACTATTAATGAGTTTGTACGCGATTAATATTCGTACTTACCACGATTATTAATCGTGGTAGAAGACGCTTTCAGA